CTGCTTTTTCCAGTTCCGGGCGCCTGTCTGAGAGAGTCTGTGGCAATGTGGGGGTAACTCGGCAGTGCACCAGCCTGCCACGCACTAGGTGTCTCTGTGGACCCGGCCAGCGCACAGCTGACAGGGCGGGGGTGCAGGGACGTGCTCGCGTTCCACGTAGCAGCCCGGCTGGAAGGGAGGAGACGGGTGTAAAAGCAGGAGGAACGAGATGGCGTTACCTTAGCATGCGGCAGTGGGTTAGATCACTAGTGGAGTCTGCGTGTGGCTCGGACATGGACAGCGAAAACTCGGAGAAGGCTCTGGGAGGAGCCACAAGAACAACTGGCAGCCTGTGTCGAGCCACGTTCCCGTGGCTGGGAGCTCAGCGCCTCTGGAAACGAGGCCACGTCATTTCGGTACCTGCACGGAAACGTAGGCACCTGGCTTTAAGCACCTGGGGTTGGGAGTCGAAAGCAAGATAGAGGAGTACGCAGGAGAAAGAAAGGCCTGTTGGTGTCCGCCCGGCCTTGCCGCCCCTGCGGGCACTTGTATGAAGCTTTCTGGTTAAGGGCAGTTTTAGGGCCCTGATAAAAGCCCATTACCGGACTGCAAAGAGGCTGTGAAGCACTGGGTGAAAGATTCCCTCTGCCTGTTGCGCTGGCACCGAGAACAGCAGCCGCGCCCGTCTGCCCATCTCCTTCCACGTTTCCTCACAGCCGGTGGGCTTGCTCTGGGCTCCACAGGGTTTTCCACGATGGGCTAATGGTGCTGACTTCAGAAGGGGCGGGGGCAAGGGGCAGCCAGCCCTCAGCGCCTCCCCCCCAGCTTTCAGAGCCACATAGAGGGGTGCTCCAGTGGCAATTCAAAGGGGGCTAGGGCTCCAGGCACCCCAAGGCCCTTAGAATCGTCAGGTCCTGTGGGAGTTCCTCCCTTTGCCCCCCTCCCTCCTGTCAGCGGGCCTGGTCACGTCTAACTTGGCCGTTGCCATCCAGTATCGGATGAGCTACCCCTTCACGATTGACGTAAGAGCTGTGCTCACCAGGCCGGGGCTGCCTAGCCAGGCTGGGATACCCACTGCTGTTTAATAGACGTCTGCCTGTAGGTCAGCCAGGGGTCGCTTGTCACCCGAACCAGGAATGCGCCCGCTCCAGAGCGCGCCGGAGACTTTGATGGAATCCCGTTACCTGCCTGGCAAGGTGCAAACGTAAAGGAGAGACATTGCCCTGGCTTGGCAGGTGTATCGGCTTCTGAGCAGCAGTGTGGCTAGGGATGGAAAAGAGGAGTCAAGTCGGCTACTTACATTTCCCTCCTCCCCTTTGCTGCTTCTGAGGGTTGGGGAAGCAGGGGCCGGTGCTGGGGGGAGCCAACTTAAAAAGCCAGCTCCTCCCAGCACTGTCTCCGCAGTGCGGGGGGGCAGAGAGGCAGAGGCGCTGTGCCTTTGCCTTTTATAATGTAGCGCGGGACCTGGCTCAGCGATTGGCCAGTGTGATTTGCTAAAAGTGAGGCACTCAGAGAGCGGGAGCGAGCTCCCCTCTTTATCTGCCTGGGGGGGACACACTGGACACACAAGCTGGGACTGTTTCATTTCCTTACCCTCGAGTTTGTCGGCCAGGAAATGTGGAGGTTTGGTGTCTGCTGGCTGGACACGCACGGGAAGGGCCAATCAATGTCCCAGCGATTTGGAGCTAACTTGCTGGGAAAGCCGAGGAGGAACGGGCGCTGCTGTGACCTTTCAGATCTGGCAGTCGCAGGGGACAGAACCTGCCCCCCCCCCCCCCCGGTTCGGACTACGCTGTATCTCCCCCACGTGGACTCGGCGGATGGGAACTAAAATTAACTTGTTCAGGGGTTAATTTTCAAAGAGCCGGTGGGCGTTGTTTGCAGAACAGTGGTTCTTCTTTAGAGTCCCCAGGGCAACTTGTTTCGCAGACCGTGTAGGAGCACGGGAAACGGAAATGGCAGCCTGCGCTCTGTGGCGTCGCACCCTGTCCTGAGATGATCTCTAGCAGCGTAGCGTTTTTGATGAATGAATCGCACTCGCTAGCTTACGAATGACCATGTTTCAGAAGGGGCATCTGTTCGCACCCAGGAATTCTTCTCTAGCTGGGCTGGGCGCAGGTCCTGGGTAGCAGCATACGGTCTGACCGCCGAGGAGTTATTCCGCTTGTAACAGCTGGCTGTGGCACCCAAGGGTCTGTGCTGGGGTTGCATGTTGATGCAACCGAGAGGCGCTCTACTGCTATGCTGGGTGCCAGGAGGCGCAGTTGGCAGAAGGCCAGCTAGACTGGTCTTGCATCCACTGACCGTTCCCACATACTGGGGCATTCTTAGCTGGCCGGTTTGCACCGCATGCCAGGCAGGGTGTAGCCCTATCCCATTGCATTCCAGATAGATTCTTACACCACCCTCTCCCTCGCAGGGAGTGAGCACCGTAGCGGAAAGCTGTTGGAGAAGAGGGAGGGAATCGGGCCCTTTGAAGACCCCCTGTGTGTAGTCTTAAGGCCTGGCGACCCCCCGTCCGTGTTGCCTGAGAGAACACTCTGCTCTTGCCGAGTGCAGCGTGGCTATCTGGCTGCAACGAGGGTCTGCCATATGAGCGAGTGGGTGTCTAGTCCCAGCCTGGATCGCCCAGGAGGTCTTGCCCAGCACTGAGCGGTGTGCAGGGAGCAGGCTCAGTAACGCCAGCAGCAGCGGAGAGCGTAGTAGGGTTCCCTGCAGCGCATAAGTGAGTGAGGCGCCTTCGGGGTCACTCGGCACTTGTCTGCATGCTGAGGTGCCTACGTTCCTTGGGGAGGGAGGTACGACCAGTGGTCCCCCGCACAGAACACTTCCCCATGGCCAATGAGCTTTGTGATGGGAGAAGCAGCTGCCAGGAGAGAGGAGGGACCAGGCTGACTGTTTCCTGCCGGGTGTGAAATGCAGAACAGGGCAAGATCAGAGGCGTGCTGATGGGATGCACCCAGCACAATCATACAAGCACATAACGTACTGTTACCTCAGCTACCCCCCACCAGAGACACCCTGTAATCCTAACTCTGCCTCCCTTTGTCCATTCGTCACACGCACGCACCCCTTTCCCAGAGCCATGGGTTCTGGTGGGAGCTGGTTGCTTGGCAAGGTGGGTGTTACACAATGGCAGTGAAGGGGGATGATGGAAGGCTGCATTCTGTGGGCAGAGTTAAGGGTACACATTTTTGTGTATTTTTCTAAGGGTTGGTTTGTTTTTTTTTAAATGCTTAAATTGGAGGGAGGTTGGATAGGAGGGGGCTACACCTCTGGGGCGGTGGGAGAGAAGTGCAGCTATTGGTGGAGATTTTATCCAGCTGCCGATGAAAACTTCTCCGTTGTCGGAATCTCAAAGCAAAGTGCAGCTCCTGATGGAGAAGATTCTGCATGCGCCTGGCCCCAGTCATGTTTCTGTGTGCCCAGCCATGCTCAATCAGGTTTAAGTGCACGGTACATAAATGTTCAGTCGTAGCAATTAAAAGCGACCATCAGTCCAAACGGTGTTTTTAAGCTAGCAGTGACACACCATCTACTCAGGATCCACTTCTCTGTAAAATGCTGCATGGAGAAACGCTATGTTTAAAGTAATATCTTTCCTGCTCAGCGCCCCTTCCGACCTGAGCCCACGGTCAAAGATTTATGTAGAAGAACCAAACTAACTATGGAAAATTCATCAGCCCATACAAATGAATCCTGTGCGGAATTAATTGACAGCCTTCTTTTAGGGGAACCCAGGAATTCATCCCCCATTTCAAGCCTGATTTAGAACTCAGCCCTATGGAGTAGCCAGCCACCAGCTTCCCTAATAGTGGGGGATTTTCATGTGCTACCATAAACAAGCTATACTGTGTGAACCTCAGGGCACGTCTTCATTACAGACTGGATCGATCCAGAAGGGGTTGATTTATCACGTCTAGTATAGATGTGATAAATCAACCACCAAGCACTCTCCTGTTGACTCTGCTACTCCACCAAAATGAAAAGTCAACAGAAGAGCAGAGTTGATAGAAGAGCATCAGCTGTTGACTTACTGCTGTGGTTGTGTAGCTTAGGTCAGCAGCCTGATAGGCACTGGCCATTATTAGCCATTTCTAGCAGCCCCAGCTGGACAGATTTTCTTGACGCCTGCAAAAGGCACCTCCCCGACCCAAGGAACACCCTCCTGCCAGATTTCAAATTGCTCCTATAAACAGTATGGCTGTGTCTACACTGGCCACTTATTCCAGAAAATCAGCCGCTTTTCCGGAATAACTTGCCAGCTGTCTACACTGGCCCCTTGAATTTCCGGAAAAGCACTGACGATCTACTGTAAAATCATCAGTGCTTTTCCGGAAAAATTATGCTGCTCCCGTTCGGGCAAAAGTCCTTTTCCGGAAAACTGTTCCGGAAAAGGGCCAGTGTAGACAGCACAGATTTCTTTTCCGCAAAAAAGCCCCGATTGTGAAAATGATGATCGGGGCTTTTTTGCGGAAAAGCGCGTCTTCATTGGCACGGACGCTTTTCCGCAAAAAGTGCTTTTCCGGAAAAGCATCCTGCCAATGTAGACGCGCTTTTTCCGGAAATACTTATAATGGAAAACTGTTCCGTTTTAAGCATTTCCGGAAAAGGATGCCAGTGTAGACGTAGCCTATGAGTCTTAGAGCTCTTCAGAAAAAGGTCAAAAGAATCTTTCCTGGTGCATCTCTCTCATTCCCCACCCAGGAGGCACTTACGTTTACCCCTGAAAAGCATCCTGCCAATGTAGACGCGCTTTTTCCGGAAATACTTATAATGGAAAACTGTTCCGTTTTAAGCATTTCCGGAAAAGGATGCCAGTGTAGACGTAGCCTATGAGTCTTAGAGCTCTTCAGAAAAAGGTCAAAAGAATCTTTCCTGGTGCATCTCTCTCATTCCCCACCCAGGAGGCACTTACGTTTACCCCTGAACTGATTTTAAATTAGGTTCGTTCATTTCACAGCCTGTCATTGATTCTGGGTGCGGCTCTCAATGGAACATTTGTCTTTGTTGCTGTCTAGGTCCGGACACTCTTTGTGAGCGGCCTGCCCCTGGACATCAAACCACGGGAGCTCTACTTGCTCTTCAGACCCTTCAAGGTACCGTTGGCCTGCCCTGCAGGAACGCTGGGAGCTGAAACCACCAGGGCCCCTCAGGAACGTGTTGTTGGGTCTGTCACCCTTCTCCACTGTCATGGCCCCATTGTTCCACAGCCGGTGCCGGAAAGGGGAGCAAGCGATGTTAATCTGCGGGAGAACCAAATGTCTGAGTACAGAGTGGGGAGGTCACCAGTTGGCCAAAGATGGGCTTGTGGGTAAGGCCTGGGATGGACTCAGGCGAGCTGGGGGTCAGTTCCAGGACTAGCCATGGACTCCCTGTGTGGCATTGGACCAGTCATTGGGGGGGCCTGATGTTCTGTGGAGCTGCAGCTCCCATTGACTTGAGTCAGGGGATAATTAGCCCTTCATTAACGTGTGCCTCATTTCCCCCATCTGGAAAACGGGGCTCTCATTCTATCAGTGGCAGTTTGGGATCCCTAGGATGTCAGTTGAGGTGCTGAAACATCACTGAGTCAGTCAGTTCTGCCAGCTTAACATCCCCTTTAAACCCTCTTTTGCTGAGCCAGGCACTAAAGCCCCCTCCAGCAAAGCTCACCCTCCCCAGCTGCAGAAGTACAGACACTGAGATCAGCTCTGGGAAGACTCAGTGTAAGGGACTTGCCCCAGCACACAGATGTCCACCCCGTTGGGATACCAACCCAAAGATCTGTGAACTTCACCTCAACGTGAAAGCAGATCTGTACAGCTTCTTGCTCCCTCTCCCCCTCCCTCTCCCTCGCTCCCAGATCAGATCCTGCCCCAAAGATTCAGCAGTTTAAAAGTCAAGACAGATCAACCAAAAGAGGAATTTGTCAAAAGCCCCACTCCAACTTCTAGTTTTCCGTGGACCTAACCTCCAGAGCTGGCCAGGAATTGTTTTGTCAGAGGAGATATTGTTGAAACTAAAACTTCTAGCTAGCATGTACCGGGTCTGACAGAACTCTGGACAGGGAGGCGTCTTGGATCCAGGGTGGAATTTCGGGTCAGAAGTGGAAGAGTCCCCAGAGCAGCCAGTAACCCCAGGGGCACTCAGCCGGGATGTAGGAGATGCAGAGCAGGGATTTACCCCCCCATCATTCTTCCTCATGCCACGGGGCTACAGGCCACCAGGCTGTTCCCATTTTGGGACAGGCCTCAATCGCTCCTGCTGGAGAGGTTCCACTCTGGAGGAATTATTGTCCTTGGGCCAGAGAAAGCGAGAGAGATGGGCTCCAGAGGCAGACCCCTGAGCAGAGGCAAATGTACCTATGGGTGTAAATAATTACCCGCGGAACCACAGGCCTTTCCCAGGAAGTGCAGCTGCAAAAGGAGAAGAACATGGAGCTGCCCCTCCCAGGAGCCAGTGTTTTGCACCAGCAGCTCCTCTAGCCTGGCTGTACTGCCCCAGCTCTGGCTTGCTGGCATGCCCCCAGAGAGGAGATGCAGACAGCTGTGTGGACGGGATAGGGTAGGGCTGAGGGTGGGTCTGGGAGCATTAGAACCACACCGGAGGAGCTTCCGGCATGGGGTGCTAGCTCCTGGGGGGTGGGTGGCTCCCTGTTTTGTGCCTTTCACCCCTGCAGTTTCCCAGACAGCCCTGCATTTCTGCTGATGTATATCCGTGAATATCTGCATCTGCAGACATGGATGTATATCCACCAAGGGCTCTATCCAGAGGCGGCTGGTTAGGGAACTCATGTGGCAGACCAAGAGTCAGTTATATTTACTTAGTCCCACAATATAAGAATTAGGGGTCACCAAATGAAATTAATAGGCATCAGGTTTGAATGAAACAAAAGGAAGTTTTTCTTCACTCAGGGCACCGTCAACCTGTGGAACTCCTTGCCAGAGGATGTGGTGAAGGCTAGGACTTGAACAGGGTTCAAAAAAGAGCTAGATAGATTCATGGAGGTTAGGTCCATCAATGGCTATTAGCCAGGATGGGTAGGAATGGTGTCTCTGGCCTCTGTTTCTCTGGAAGTGGGTGACGGGAGGGATCACATGAGGATTACCTGTTGTGTTCCCTCCCTCTGGGGTATCTGGAATTGGCCACTGTCGGCAGACAGGACACCGGGTTGGATGGACCTTTGGTCTGACCCCGTCTGGCCGTTCTTATGTTCAGTTCAGGGTTCTGCAGCAACCCCCCCGGAAACTGGCTTTCTGCCGGCACTTACGCCCCAGCTTCATTGCTTACTCCATTCCCAGGCTTTCTCGGCCCATTCCCCTGGCCTGTCCCTGACTGAGGGTACAGGAGGCTGCCTCCATATAGCGTCCCCTCCCAGCGGGCCTTGCTGTGGGCCTATGGTCCCGTATGGCTTGGTCACCCCCGTGCCCAACGTGGCACTGTTCTCGGCTGCCACCTTGAGCCCTGGGGCATGCTGGCCCTTTCAGGCAGACCCGCGACACGGTTCGCGGTGAGCACCAGTCAGAACCCTGTGCTTTTGGCCGCCTTTGCGCCAAGTGCGGCCTGTTGGCCTGGGTCCGGCGCGCGCCTCGGCTGAACTGTGCCCTTCTCTTTCCTTGCAGGGCTACGAAGGCTCTCTCATCAAGCTCACCTCCAAACAGGTAAGGGCCCAGCGGCCATGCTGAGGGGCGGAGCACTGATTACAAACAGCAAACGGCCACGCCTCGCGTTCCCACCCCACAGCCAGGTTCGGGGAGTTCCCCTCTTCCACCCTCCCTGCTGGCTAGCAGTGGGTTTACTCAGGCCAGCCGGGGTGACCGGCCGAGGGCAGAGCCTGCCTTGGTTCGCGCTCCTAGCAGACGCCAGCCTTCTGAAAAGCGCTGCCGTCCAGCCACACACATCATGGGATTTTTTTTTCCGTGCATGCGGGGAGAGCGTCCCTTTAACTCTCCTAGTGTGGGGAGAGCAGCCCGGTGCCCCGCCCGGTGCAGGGAGAGCGGCCTGGCAGGGGCGGGGAGAGCGGCCTGGCACTCAGCCGCTGGCTCCAGCAGCTGCATCCGCAGGGCAGAGTGCACCATTTTGGGCCAGAGCTCCTCCGGGATTACCCAGCAGGGAAAATGGAGGGGAGCAAGGAGGCAGGATTAGCCAGCAGAGTCCAGATGCATCTTCTCCCCCATGCCCTTGAAAAGAGCCAGATCCCTGTGTGTGCCCCCGAATACAGGTTTCCTGCACAGTCGCAGCACAGACCTTCTAGTCTTTGCTTTGTGGCCTTCCAGTGTGTTGCTGGCTGCACTCCAGCTAGACCTAGAAGAAGGCTGGAGAGTCTCAGAAGGCTACACTTGGAAGGATGTTGTTGAAGCCCTTGCTATTTCTGCCCCGCTTCGGGCACATGGTGCATGTCTCCCAACACTCATGCCCCAGACACCGCCCACGTAGGCCTTCCTCAGGGAGGTGGGGAAGGCAGCCCAGGTGGTGATCGATGCCCAAAGCAAAGTCCATCGGGTAGATACAGCCCCTGGAGATCTGCAGGGTAGTTCTCCGCTCTGAAAGAGAGATGGCTGGTGCAGACGACAGGTCCCAAGTACCCTTGGTGGGTGGTAGTGAGCAGGGTCCCTGTATCTGTCTGCAAGGGATGCTGCTCCTTCCCTGAGTCATCCCCTGACCCTCTCTCCTCCTTTCTCCTCAGCCGGTCGGGTTTGTCAGCTTTGACAGTCGCTCCGAAGCAGAAGCTGCCAAGAATGCCCTGAATGTAAGTACCTGATGCTGCAGCAGCACTTTGTGGAGGAGGGCTGGGGGCGAGGGGCGCAGCATGGACAAGGGAGTGAACTGAGGATCTGGATACCTTTCTACGTCTGTGGGGTGAGTGAGCCCCATGATAGCAGATGAGTGTCTCCTCCTTCTAAAGTTACTCCTGAGTGGTGCATGCAGAACACGGAGCTCCTCTGCTACGGGCGTAGGGAGATGCTGTATCCAGCATTTAGCTAAGCGCTGATACTGATCGCGTTCTCCTCTTCCGCTCAATGTCTGTATCCAAAGTAGCAAAGAGAGCGATGGATGGTACGCTGGTCGCTCTTCCTATCTTCATAGACACACTGCTGATTGACCATGATTTCATTCCCCCCCCGGCGTGACGCTTCACAGATTTATTGTTTTTTCCCAGGGATTTTAGTTAGATTTACTGATTCACATGGTGTTTGAGTCCTGGAAAAGATCAACATTTTTTTTTCTCCTGCCCCAGCTGTCCAGGACTTTCCCCAAATGATTGCCAATAGTTCTCTCAATTCCTTCAACACGGGGATGTGCATCCTCTGCACTCGCTGATTTGTAAATATCCCGTTTTCCCGAGCGCTTCCTGCTCTGGTGTTTGTCAGCTGCTATTGGTACAGCCCTCACTACTTCCTAAGTGTCAGTCTCTTTCCGATTTTTATTCCGGCCTCCCTTTGCTGTCCTAATTCCTCACTTTATTGGGACACACTCAACTCAGCCTCTTTTCCTAAAAATGTCAGAAATCAGCGGTCTGCTGTTTTGTTCAAATCAGGGGGCTGTTCGCAAGGAGATCTTTGACATCAGGCATGTGAAGACCGAGAGAGAAATCAGATTTACTCTAGGAATCTTTCAGTTGGATCACGATCCAGCTCTTTCAAACCATGGCTACAACCAAAACTAAGTCCAGTGATTTGAATTTTGAACCCGTGGAGTTCTCAGGAATACTTTGTCTGCTGACTCCGGGAACTCACCTGAGAGATGACGCTGTTACAGATGTACCCTGTCTATTTGCAGCTGCTATTCATCACAGCTGCTTCATTGAAGCCAATTTCCATTAGCTTTGACCCCATGTACAAGTTCTTAGGGGTGGGGCTAGTTGTGATTCCTGAATTAAATGTTGCTTTACATTTTCCGTCGTCACAATTATTTTTAGTTGCTAACTTTTGCCAAACTTTAACCACTTGGGCCGAGATTATTTTTGTTAGCTCTCTGACCCCCACAAATTCCTTTCTGTTACGAGTCTGCAAAAATGATTCAGCCAGTTCTGAGAACGTGGGTGTTTCTGAAACTGACATGCTTTGTAGCAGAAACTTGACCTCTGTGAGGGGAGAGTCTCGGGGTCAGCAATGTGCCTTGTGCACTCTTGTTCCTATGTAAGGCCAGACCTGGCCAGATGAAGCGATTCTGAAAACAGCCAGTGGCGCCTGGTTCGTTGAGCTGTTTGAAGTTGTGGTGCAAAGTTCTCCAAGTGTGCCGACTGCATGGAGCATGTGTCCGCCCCACACAGCCGTCTGCATGCTAGGCTAGTGAGGGGCAGCCCAGATGAGTGAGCCGGCCACATGAGTGGCCTTCCATCTCAGTGGGCTGTAAGAATGTGGTATCCAAGTCGGTCTCTGGGGAGAGGGCAGTTTTGCTCCCTGCGCTTGCACTCTGCCAGTGGAAACCAGCAGAATCTAGCAACCCTGCACGTAGGCAGCGGCAAACAAAACGTCTCGTGGGCCACACACAGAAGCCCGATGGGCCACAGGCTGCCCCGCCGTGGTTAGTAGCTTGTGGCTTTCATTGACCCGTTCGCTTCCCCCCGCGCCTCAGAGTTTGCTCCTGCTGCTCCCTACGTTTGCCATACATGTTTTGCCCCTCTCAGGCTGAGTGCTTGTGGGAGTTGTGGTCAGAGTCATCCAGACTCTGCCTCAAGGCAGGGGGGCATCGACATGGGGATTGTTGAAATGGATTTGTGTTCTCCATGCCGGCCTGTGGGATGTAAGGGTCGTCCCCGTCACCCAGCTGTTAACACTCAGAGGAGGGAATGACTGAGTTTAGGCCTCCCTCCCTCAGAACAGTGCTTCAGCATAGGGCAGCAAGCAAGTCCCACAGAGGGCAGATGTGGGGCTCTCAGACTAGGGCCTGGCCTTCGAATTAAAGCAGCATCCGCCTATTTTCAAAACTGTAATAGAACATAAAGGAGCTAAACAGCTATTACTGTGAGAGGCGAGTAGCCGTTGCCAGTCCACTCCTCGTGTCACTTTCTCGGACTTTCTGAAGCCTTCACTTTGGAAGCTGAAATTTTTCCATGCTTGGAAAATTTCTACTCATTTTTTGGCTAAAAAATGCAGATTCATGTCAACCAGAAACATTTACTGAATTTAGGTTCTGACTGTTTCAGACATCCCCACCCCCTGCCAAAGCCCCCAAGGAAAAACTTAAGGCTATCTCTTAATCTTAGTATCAGAGGGGTAGCCGTGTTAGTCTGAATCTGCATCTGGCGAAGTGGGTCTTTGCCCACGAAAGCTTATGCTCCTACACTTCAGTTAGTCTATAAGGTGCCACAGGACTCCTTGCCACTTAATCTTAGTTAACTCTGACAATTAACCAAAAAAACTTAATCGTGATTTTTTAAAATTACAGTTAATTGCAGGTTTAACTGCATGGGAATATGAGTTGAAATTAAATATTTTGGATGTTTTTCAACATTTTCAAATATTTATTTCAATTACAACACAATACAAAGCATGCAGTGCTCACTATATTTTTATTACTTTCATTTTTACAGTGTAAATATTTGTATTTCTCAACTCGCCTCATACAAGTACTATAATGCAATCTCTTTATTGAATGGAGTGCAACTTACAAAGGTAGATTTTTTTTTTTATTGCATAACTGCACTGAAAAACAAAGCAACGTAAAACTTTCATGCCTGCAAGTCCATTCTGTCCTACATCTTGTTCAACCAATTGCTATGAGAAACAAGTTTGTTTACATTTATTGGAGATAATGCCCTCATCTTATTTACAGTGTCACCTGAAAGTGATAACAGGTGTTCACGTGGAACTGTTGTGGCTGACATTGCAAAATATTTACATGCTAGATACGTTAAACATTTGTATGGCCTTTCATGCTTCAGACAGCATTTCAGAAGCCATATTTCAATGCTAATAACATTCACTTAAAAATGCATTAATTAGTGACTGAATCCTTGGGGGAGAATTGTAAATCTGCTCTGCTTTACCCGCAGTCTGCCATATATTTCATGTTGCAGCATTCTTGGACAATGACCCAGCACATGTGTGTGTTTAAGAATATTTTCACTGCTGATTTGAGAAAACACAAAGAAGGTATCAATATGAGATTTCTAAAGATAGCTCTAGCACTCAACCCAAGGTTTAGGAATCTGAAGTGCCTTCCAAAATCTGGGAGGGAAGAGATGTGGAGCGTGCTTTCAGAAGTCTTAAAAAAGCAACTCTGATGTGGAAACTACAGCAGTTGAACCACCAAAAAAGCAAATCTACCACCTTCTGGTGGCATTTGAGTGAGATGAGGAAAATGAACATGAGACTGTCTGCATTGCTTTGGATTGTTGAGCAGAACCTGTCATCAGCATGAAAAATATACGAATCCTTAGCCCCTCTGGAATGTAAATATTTTGCAACATCAGCTACAACAGTGCCTTGTGAACACGCCAGTTCTTGCTTGGGGGTGACATTGTAGACAAGAAGTTAGCAGCGTTATCATCTGCAAACATAAACAAACTGGCTTGTCTGAGCAATTGACTGAACAAGATATAGGATTGAATGGACTTGTGGGCTTTAAAGTTTAACATTTTATTTTTTGTATATACAATGAGCAGTCCTGTGGCACATTAGAACATCATGAGCGTTCGTGGGTAAAACCATGTGAGCATCTACAACTAGATACGTTTGCTTGATAAAGGCAATAGTTTTGATGTGATAGACTTCTGTAAGGCTTTTGATTTAGTATCACATTAAAAAGGCTGAGACTTTTCAGCTTAGAAAAGAGGAGACTAAGGGGGGATATGATAGAAATCTGTAAAATTATTACTGGTGTGGAGAAAGTGAAAGGGAAAAGTTATTTACTTGTTCCCGTAGCATAAGAACTAGGGGTCACCAAATGAAATTAATAATAGCAGGTTTAAAACAAATAAAAGGAAGTTTTTCTTCACACAGTGCGCGAGCAACTTGTGGAACTCCTTGCCAGAGGATGTTGTGAAGGGCAGGACTTTTAACAGGGTTCAGAAAAGAGCTGGATAAATTCATGGAGGATGTTAGCCAGGATGGGTTGGAATAGTGTCCCTAGCCTCTGTTTGTCAGAAGCTGGAAATGGGCAACAGGGGTAGGATCACTTGATGATTCCCTCTGGGAGCACCTAGCATTAGCCACTGTCAAAGACAGGATACTGGGCTAGACGTCTGGTATTTTTAATAGCTAGGCCAGACTCAGCCCCAGTCCAGATGTTTGTGACCCCAGAGGCAGCTGGAAGGCAGCTGTGGGGCAGGGCGAGTGTGCTGATAGAGGGAAATCCAGAGCTGGCTTAACGCTAGCTCTAAGCACTAGCTCCTCCCCTGCCCGTGAAGGGCTGTACCAGAGCTTATTTGGCTCCCACTAGTGCAGGGTCAGGCGAGCAGAGAGGCTGATGTTGTCCCTGCCTCTCCTCCAGCCCAGGCCTGCCAGACCAGAGGATCTGGGCCATGGCTGCCCTGCTGCTCCCTGACCTCCAGGCCAATCAAGGCTTGGGGGCGGGGGAGCGCGCCAAGTCTCCTTGCCCCCGCAGTTTTAAACCTGCCTGGCTGTGTCTCTA